TGGCGAGGCCCTAAGTGACTAAGGGCCTCGCCGCACCACTGTCGAAAGTCGAAAAAAGTCGACGGCTGTCAGAACAAATTCGACAGCCTCCATTCGACAGTTTGCCCCCCCTTCGCCACACATCACTGTAGAGTGCACTCACTTGTGAAAGCAAGATGGAAAAAGACAACGCGCCCGAGGGTACGACAAGCATCAGTCCATCCCGACCTTACCCCCACCTACTGAATTTCGAAGCGAAGTCGACGGCGCAGCCGAGGAGTGTCGAAAGCATCGGAGTAGCAGGCTGGGGATTCAACTACTTTCGACAGGAGGTGTCCAGAAGAAATGAATTTCTCTGACAACTTGCAAATTTTCTTCTCGTCTCCGACTTCGACAGCCTGTGTGGCGAAGAGCAACTGTCGAAAATCGCATTTTCGACAGTGGTGCGGCGAGGCCCTATGTCCAATATAATAGAGAAAGAAACTCCACCATACAGACAAAACTAACAACGACCATCTTCACCCGAATAGAACGCCCGGTCATTATCGCTGCATCTGGACTGAAAGTTGGTTCAAATGCAGCTACAATGACCGGCTGTTCTATTCGGGTGAAGACGGTAGTAATGATGGACTCGAACAAGAAGTAACGGAAGTCCTACAAGCGACGGCAAACCCCAAGCCGCCAAGAAAAGACAGAAGCTAACAAATCGCACGAGAGCCAACGACAACCACAGGGGGGTGACAATGCGTAGGAATGGAGTTTATGGATATGTTGGCCACCTACGCCACGAGGAAAATACCCCGGATTGCAAACGTATCATAGCAACTTTACCCCTCTGCGCAGGTATGGTGACAAACAAACACCTTTGCGAGCAACCAAACCTCGTTTGAAAAGCCGCCCCGTATCTATGCAGAAATACCGGTCAGAAAAAAAAAAGAAAAAAAAAAGAAGAAAAAAAAACGGGCAGCGGTTTTTCAGTTGCAAATATACCGGGCTGTACCTCGACTTGCAAAGAAAGGACCGGTGGGCCTTGGAGCCCTTTCCTCAGGCCAGGCCGACGGGACCCCCTGTTATAAAAGCCAGTACCGACTGTTAAATCTGCGCAGAAACCTTCGAGAAAAACGGTATTTCTGCAACTCCACCAGTATATTTGCCAGCATACCGGCACAGGTCGGTAAAGTTGCAAGGATACGTTTGCCAACGGGTATTTCTGCAATTTGACTGGACCTTTATGTTCCAATAGAAAGTAAAGGAGGCCCTGCACACACATTAAAGTGGCCATCCTGGCTACCTTGCATGCAACCGGAAACGCACACCAAATGACAAAAACGGATCTGCACCTATTGCTTGAAAAGAACAAGGACTCTGGCCTAAACTGCTACGACATAAATAAGCTGCTGGAGCTGCCGCTGCTGAAAATTAAATATAAGAGAAAACTAGGGCACGGTCATCGTTTGAGTTTGTAAATGCATTTCAAACTGCCGTCTCGCAGTCCAGTCCGGTCCGAAGTTTACAATGCAGTCGAAACTCCGTTTTACAGAAAGAAAAGTCTCACAGAGGCGTTTGTAACTGCAGTTCAGTCAGGCACGCGGCCATTTTTGTTTTATTTTGTTTCTTGTGTTTTCGTTCTCTCTCTCTCTCTCTCTCTCTCTCTCTCTCTCTCTCTCTCTCTCTCTCTCTCTCTCTNCTCTCTCTCTCTCTCTCTCTCTCTCTCTCTCTCTCTCTCTCTCTCTCTCTCCTGCTCGCTTGTTCTCTCTCTGAACTCCATCTTCTGACGATGGGGGGAAGTAAAGACGTACACTGTTTTCTATTTGGTGTACGATAGGAGGCCGACGAAGTGCGCACATGAGGGTGCATCAACAATTTTAGGAGACATGGTACGGTTTCAGAGCGGGGATCCTCCTCCCCTGTTTTTCTATTTGTGAGCAATGGTACGGTTGTGCATCACTTGGAGTTCGGAGTAAGAATAGGATTCGTGCAGACAACGTGGTTTTTCTTACACACCCCTCACAGAGGAGGATCCCCGTGAATGGATCTTATGATTGCACGAATCCAATTTTTACTCGCAAGTTTGAGGCTGGAAACAAGGAATCTTCAAGTGCGAGTTCCGGCTTCAAGATGGTTATGGTCGGGAAGGGAGATAGTTGAGCCAGAAAAAATCTGGACATTGCAGAAAGTGGAAAGTGGTGTGGGTAATTTGTAGGGTGGAAGAAGGATTAATTGGAAATGGAAACAAAAATATTCAACCACATAAAAATCAAACGGTTATTGCCCGTCGTCTCTTTCTCTTGCCGAGACGAAAGGTTGCAGGTYGGCATGTTGGATCGCAAATGTGAGCAATGGTACGGTTGTGCATCACTTGAGTTCGGAATAAGAATCGGATTCGTGCAATCACAAGATCCATTCACGGGGATCCTCCTCTGTGAGGGGTGTGTAAGTAAAACCACGTTGTCTGTCTACAGTCTGTCTACAGTGTCTACAGTAAAAACATAGCGTCGCTCGCCAAAAAGGTACAACGACCAGGTACAGGGTAACTTTCAGCTCGTCATACAGAAAAAAAAGGAAGTTAAGTACTAAGAAGGTAAGGAAGTTTTCCTTGTGAGCAGGCAGGGTAGTTAACTTTCCCTTTGGAGGTGACCGTCATGACGGTATCTGGGGGTTCTGAGAGATCTGAAGAGGCAGGCCTCAGCTCTCCTTCCACAGGATCACACTCCCAAGCAGAATTCCTAATGCATTGATGGTCTTCGCCAGCATTCAGTCTTCTGTATGTCTTCCCCCGAACACAACGCACCCCTATTTTGGCTGTATCTGGCCGGAAATATAGCTTGTATACATTCATTTTTAGGGTGCGTTATGTTCGGGGGAAGACTGTAGGGATGCTGGACCCGGTTTCCATAAGGTGCTGCTCCCCGGCAATCGATTGGAGGCATGGTGATCCAAGCTGGTAGGGAAGTAGTATGCTCTCACGACCCTGCTTAGCAGGCTTGAGGAGAGTTTAGTTAAAGAAAAAGAAAAAGGAAAAAGAAAAGGAGAGGGATTTCCTGAAAGCATGAACCCAAATGCCACAAAACGCCAAACACTTAAATTCACTCTGAAAAATATAAGGCCGAAGGATTTGCAGCATGGCTTCATGCATGCCCCACTCGCAAACAAGCATCTGGTACTATTTGTTGTAAAGAAAAGCGGACATGCAAGTCTCGGATACTTGCAACGCAGGACAGATTAGGTAGATATGTCCTCGCAACAATTCGTCAGAATAATCAAACTTATTTGAATAAAGTCTCTTCGATTTGATGGGGATAATGCATTGGGAAGATAATGCTAAAAAACACAACCATATACGAGAAAGTCATGAGGCAATGAGGCAACTTCGCCCAACAAAGATCAGCACATCAAAGTTCAAACCTATTTGACCCACCAACCATTGAAACCGTTAGGTTGCAACTTCGCCCGTCCGTGCTCAGTGAATCAAGCCTATACAACACGCCGACTAGTAGCGACTACAAAAAGCGTCCGCTACCCGGCCCGAGCTGGCTACTTGAGTGAGAGGAGAGAGAGGTAACTAAGTCTTCTGAATCATCTTTTCAGATTTATAGCTCCTTGGACGAGAGAGCTTGCATGCGCGAGATAAGCGGTGGAAGAGAAAGGGGAGGAGAAAGAGAGAGGCAGAAACTGCCAGAAAGCCTGAGAAAGGCTCTCAATTTGGTGTCATTCGTGGTCAAACTGTGGTGTGCGGGAAGAAGCCACTCTCCACACAACGATGCAATCTCTACTGCCGTGGAGCCAACCCAAGAAAGTGGAGGGAAAGAAGTGGGGGATTACAAGAGTCATAAGGGAGACATCATGGCACATAAAGAGACACAGATCAAGAAGGAAGTGGGAAGGAAAGAGGGTTCAGAGCAGGGAGAAGACACAGTCGTCAGGGAAAGATGCAGGGCGGTTACGCGTGGGTCCTCAAAGTAAGTGTGTGTAAGCCGAGAAGAAAAGATGCCGCAGGCAGAATGCAAGAATCAAGAAAACAAGAGAAAGATACTGCCGGGAAAGGAGCTTAGAGGGTTGTGACCGAAAACTAGAGCGCGGGCACAAGCACGAGTTCAAAAGAGATATTTTGAAGTTCCTGGGCACGCTCGGCACTCGTTAAGGCGAAGAAAGATGAAGGTGTGAAAGGATATCAAACACCTATCCTGTCAACACTACTCAAACAAAAGGACAGTTTTTGTCAATTTTGAAGCTGCCACTTGAAAGGAGCTCAAAGCACGCGACTAGTACACACACCTTTTGAATCAAAACCAAAAAGGCTGTGCGCAGAAGATAGTGTGTCCTGGGGGCGAGTCCCACTTGGCAGGATCCTCCATTTCTGGCTGTTGATCTTTGTGATGTATGGTTAGAATTCGAGAGTTCGTGTAAGTGGGACTAGGCCCCTAGATAAGAGAGAGAGCCGCGAACTTACTTAGAAGGATGTGCACTGACTCTTAATAAATAGTACATTATTACGAGTCAAACAAAAATAAAATAACGTAATGCTCTTCTTTTCTCCCCTCCTAGGCGCGACTCCAAGAAAAACCACTTCCACACAAACCACTTGCAGGCCTCAGGGCAAAGTTCATTGGCGCGCTCCGGGACTCCCACCTGGTTTTGTTCCAGACCTGGTCTCACTTTTGAGAGACTAGGTTCCTTGCATGCAATTCCTTGATCGGTGCGTCAGGTATGTCCGAGCCACCCCATCCGAATTCAAACCGGAACCACCCAACGGTTTGTGCAGCAGCATCACGAGATGCTTGGGTGCTGGAGGGAGGTCGAAATATGACATGCCGTTGTGGRGGCAAAAACTGCAAGATGTGGAGCACGAGCAGCTGAGGTAGTTTCTCCCACTGCGACCCCCTGAAGATGTGGGCGAATTGCGTGCAGGCAGTCTTGACGGGATCCCTCAGATACGAAGGGCGAAGTTGCAACTCGGCAACCATCTTATCAAAGCAACCCCGGTGCATYGCGCCCAGCACCAGTTCTCGCAATCGAGCTGCAACGGGAATCACGCGCTCAATCTCGGACTTGCTGGCGTACTCGTACGACACAAAACTGACAGAAGACTTCTGAAGCTTCTGCAGAGATTTCATCACTTCCCAGTCCACGCTCTGTTTTGTACGAGATGCGAACATATAGTGCTCACTGTCAAATAGCACCTCCCGGTGCTCTTTGAAAGTCCTAGTACTTGTACCACGTCCTTCTCCTGCTTCTCCTCCTCCTTATCCTTCTCCCCCGTCTCCCCTTTCTCCTCCTTGTCCCCTTTCTCCTCCTCCTCCTCCTCCTCCTCCTCCTCCTTCAGATACGCGAAGTGCGTTTAAGAACGATGTTTCCTTCAGCACAGTAGGGACATCATAGTGGGGCTTGTACCCCCCAGGTTGAAGGTTTTTTGCTAGCACTTTCACCTTTGAGATTTGCCGCTCATGCCAGTGGGCCCTTTTAACATGTGAGATGAGCAACCCTGTGTCCCGGTCCCAGACATCTGCGAACCAGCTTGCTATCCAACTATCATCTTGGTAATGTCCCTGCCAGAAGAACATTTGCAGTGGGAGATGTCGGTCGTCACTCCTAATCAAGTCAAAATCCAGTCTGTCTACCCGCAATATAGTATCATAAAAAAAGCAGTTCGGAATCCCATAATTTAGTTTTCTGGTAAATCCCAACAGCTGGTTCTGAATGACTTCATCGCTCTCAGTCCCTGTCATGCATGGGTCGATTCCCAAGCGGCGGAAACACGTTTTTGAACCCAAAGAATTTCTCCAGCTGCATTGGAATCCAGTTTCGGAATCTAGTAGACTCCTAACAACAGAATCGTACTCTTCTTCAGAATCCCCAGCTGCATTCGAAACCAGGTTCTGTGCACGATAATCACCCGCCTTTGCATCCTCCTCCTCCTCCTCCTCCTCAGTCACAAGGGCTCTGCCATAATCGTGTGGAGCACTAGTATTTGCTAACTCCTCCTTGAGGTCATCAGCCTGACCAAGACCATCCCCTTTACTCTCATCGCCATGGTCATCATCCTCATCATTTTTGTTGATGTCATCGACATTGCTCTCAGCCAGTTCCATCGTGACGGATTCGCCCTTGTCAGGACCACAGCTAGCAACTGCACTTCTGTAATCACCAGCGTGACCATCACCATCATCATCACCATCATCATCATCATCATCATCCGCGTCACCACTGTTCTGTTCCACGTCGGACTCCATGTTCGGATTGTATTCAAGCAGCTTGTCATACCAGTCACGAAACTCGTCATCACTGACAAAGCAGCCACCACCACTGGCACAACAACCACAAAAACCACGGAGTACATTCTCAGGTGTACAGGCCTTGGCAAAGTATTCTGCTGCATGGGATTCTTGTTCATCCTTGCAGTTGCAGTACTCAGCGAACATAGGAGCAAGATCCTTTCCCGGATTCAGGGACGTCTTCAGAGACATGATGGTCCCAGGGTCTGAGAGGAAGGCGTCAAACAATTGTGGCGCCTTTTTAAAGAAGGGCAGAAAACTTTTGTCCACACATGCCACTTGAAGAGGGAGGATGTGATAATCCTCAAACAAGCTTCCTTTGAAGGCTGTGTGAAAGTCCAGGAACACCATCTCCTCCTCTAAGTCCTCTTCCTCGTTGCCGCCTGCTAGATGATGGCGCACACACTCAGMCATCAGCTCCAAGCTCAGCCGTACGCCAGATTTCATTTCCACTTCTGTCTCCACCGCCTTGTCAGATTTTGTTTCTCAGTCAATTCCAAAGGCTCCTCCTTTGCGATTGTTTTTTGATTGAAAAAAATGGTATCGTTTCAAACGTTCTGCTGCTTCCCTGTTCTACACTAAAATACTGGGAGGCCACCAACGGCCAGTAATTGAATTGGTTGGGCTTAAAAGAATTAGCCTTAAAAAATAATAATAATAATAATAATAATAATAAAAAAAACGAAAAAGACAAAAATCCCAGATGACGATTCCCACACAATAGCTCCGGCCCATCGCACCAAGGCCGAACAATGGGAAGCAGCCAACTAGGATGCCAAAAGGATTTAAAAAAACGCCGGTCCCACATTAAAAAAAAAAAAGAAAAAAAAAAAAAGAAGGGGAAACAGCCAACTTGGATGACAGGTCCCAAATGAAATCACCGCCACGTCCTTCGGGACATCCGTTAAAATTAGAACGATACAGAGAATGAAGATTAGCATGGCCCCTGCGCAAGGATGACACGCATAAATCGAGAAATGGTCCAATTTTTTTATTAAAAAAAAAAAAAAAATCACCGCCACCGACACCCTCCTCCTCCTCCTCCTCTGCCCTACTAAGCCGAACAATGGGGCGAAACCAACGGGGATCCCTCTGATGAAGCCGCTTCTGGAGGGTGGACGAAAAAACTACCGTCTTCCCCCGAACATAACGCACCCTGATAATGAACGTATAGAAGCCATCTTTCCGGTCCGGTACAGGCAAAATGAGGATGCGTTATGTTCGGGGGAAGACGGTAGTAGGGACGCGCCAGCCTCTGCGCTCTGCGGGACTTGGACTTGGATCTATCGGTTGGGCCGGTGAGGGCTGCCAATGCTTGGCTATGCCCTTGGGACTCAGGGCTTCACTTTGTTTCAATGATTCAGTCTATTTCGGGATTGCTTATATCCACATGTTCAGCCGTGGTCAAGCACGGGCATGTGTTGTGTCTTTCTGTTGACGTCATCTCTTCATCTTTACCACTTTAAACCAATCGGGATGCAGACAAGGGTGCCAAAAAAATGACCAAATCTGCCATAACCATCCATAATAAAAAGACGGATCCACACAAAGCAAAGATCCCACATCACATGACGATCCCCTCACAACGGGAATCAACCAACCGGAGCAGGATGCCAAAATAAAAAAGAGCCCGGATGACTATGGGTCTTGCCGCACGGCACACGAAACGAAAACGAAACGAGTGCATCTCCCCACGAAAGGTGGCAAAATACACTCGTTACTATTTATAGCAAACCGATGAACCTGGCCATCTTCTGCAGGAAGATGCACTCGTTTCGTTTTTCGTTTCGTGTCCCGTGCGGCGACGCCCTATATTAGTAGTCCCACATGAAAGCACGGCTACGCGCATCCCAAAATAGACCGAACTAAAAAAAAACAAAAAAACAACGGGACAAAACCAACCGGGACGCAGACAAAGGTAACCAGACAAAAAGTAAAGAAAACGGAACCAGACAGTAGGTCCGCAAAACGACAAAACCCCCCACCATGGGGAAGAGTAAAGCAAAAAAGAGACAATTGAAATTAATTTTCTACCATAACCAAAGAAGAGGCTGCTACCGTCTTCACCCGAATAGAACGCCCGGTCACTATAGCTGCATTTGGCACAACTTTCAGTCCAGATGCAGCGATAATTACCGGGCGTTCTATTCGGGTGAAGACGGTAGTACACAGGCCCGACGCTCGCCGGATCATCTGCAAAAGCAGATGGCTTTCAACGTAAACAGTATATATATATATATATATATGACGATATATATATATATATATATTACTAGGCGGCCATGCTGTGCCTCTAGTGCCAGCGGCGTGTCTGGAGTGTATTTTTTGGCTGTGACAGACCTTTCTTTGTTTTGTGGGTGTTTTGCTTGGTTGTTTCTTGTGATGGGGTGTGAACCGACAGTCTGTAGAGTTTTCCATCTGGTGTGGGTGAGTGATAGTCTCCTTTGATTTTGGTTAAGGTAGATTATCATTTACATTTTAGT